TGGGCAGGTTCAAAGGAGGAGGAGGAGGAGGAGGAGGAGGAGGAGGAGGGGGAGGAGGAGGAGGAGGAGGAGGAGGAGGAGGAGGAGGAGGAGGAGGAGGAGGAGAGGGAGGACGAACAGCGGCGGCGCCAAGCTCGATGGATATAGGCCGGTACGCCCGAAAATAGACGCATGGGCCGGTACCGAACAAAATCGGATCGATGCGTCCGCAGTGCGACCCAGAGGAGGAAGAGGGGGAGGAAGAGGATGATGATGAGGAGGAGGCGGAGGAGGAGGAGGAGGAGGAGGGTGAGGGGGGAGGAAGGAGGAGAAAAGGACAGGGGGAAGGAGAAGGAGAATAATCCTCCCCCAGCGCAGCACGCGTCAGGGGGCGCCCAGGGAGCGGAGGAGAGGAGGCGGGCGCACGAGGCCCTACCTGATTAAGCAGCACAAGCCAGGGGGCCCCAGGCACGGCCACGGATTGTTCGACGCCCGGGCATTGATTGACGCATGGGTACAGTGAGAGTCTTGACCCAAGGAACCCAAAATAAGGAACGGGGCCCCTTCCTCCCATAAGTTGAGTTTCGATGTCCCATGGAACACCTCAGGAAGACAGAAAGCAAACTGCTGAACCATCAAGGAACACCGAGCCCCTCCCCAACGAAAAGCGTTCCTTCTTCAGGGCCCCGACTGTAGTGGTGATCATGTATGTGCAATTCGCGTCATTGTTTCACTCCGCATCCGGCGTCCGACCGGGCTTCGTGCTCGCACGTCTGGAGGCAACTACTGGGAGGTCTTCGTCGGCAAAAATTAAGAGAGAAAAAAACAAAAAAAAAAACAAAAAAAAAAAAAAAAAAAAAAAAAAAAAAAAAAAAAAAAAAAAAAGGGGGGGCTCCTACGCGGGGTTAGGCTGCGGACTAAGCGGGATTTAGCTGGGCTAAGCTGGATCAAGCTGGATAAAGCGGGACTAAAACTGGATTTAGCGGGACATGGGACCAGGGCAAAGTCAGAATTTGACCTCCCAGGAGTTGCATCCGAACATACGGGAGCTTGCTTCTGCCTTGGGGGCCCCAAACACGCACGCAGAGCACACCAAGCCCCGGCGACGCAATCCGCGCCGCCTGACGCCAGAGCGCCCGGGCCTGGCCACTGGCGGCGCGTCATGACAGGGCTGGAGCCTGGCATTGTCGGTCACCCTGGTCTTGTGGATGCCATGACACCCTAACAGTCCTATCGTTGAATTCAAAAGGTGCTGAAGATGTTGAACAATGTTATAAACATGTTTAAATTGTGTGTCCTTACAGGTTTAAAACAAGTGCAACACATGTTTAGACATCTGGAACTTATTTGGCAATGGTTCCTCTCCATTGATCGTCCTCCACAAGCCTGGTCCTGCTGTGTCCTCGCAAAGCGGCCAACTTCATAGCCAAATAACTTTGTGGTACGTCTGCGAATCTGGAAAGATGCAGGCCCCAGCTTCCACATGCGTCTTGCCCAGAGATGTCATCACAGTATGGCCTACAGGGAGCATGTCCATCAGCGCGGGCAGACCATGCAAAGGGCAACAGGAAAATCTGTCCCTGGAAGATCGGCACGACAAGCAGGGTGTGACAGATCGGCACGTCAATCTACATCATAAAGAGCTGCGAGACCAGCTGCATCAAGAAGATTGGTACGAGAGGCATAGTTAATCCTCTGCACGGCCAGCTTCAACAGGAGGGTCGGCACGACCAGCAAGAAAGTGAAGATCAGCACGACCAGCTTATAAACAAGATGGTCGGCACAACAAGTGGCATCAATAAATACGACATGTTCAGCTTCATCTACAGCACGATCAACTGCATCGAGGTCGGCACTCACACACATATTCCCTCAGCAAGATCGCCACCATCAGCACGAACCAGACGATGGGTGCGACAAGCTCCCACGGGAAAGTCGGCATGGCCAGCTGCATCAGGAAGATCGGTACGAACTATATCCTCGACTGCGCGGCCAACTTCATCAAGAAGATCATCGTGCCCAGCATCATGCCCCGGATGATCAGGAAGTGTGGCACGACACGGTCCATTCGGAAACTCTAGGCTTCCATGAGGAAGATCACCAGCGTCCTCAGAAGATCAGCACGACCATCCTCGTTCACTCCAATTGTCTTCAACCGGCTTTCCAAGGCCACCTCCAAACTCTGCACGAGGACCCTCTGTTGCTCCCATCAGGGCTGCCACTGGCAGGGCCTGCAGCAGCAGAGTCGCCGACCTCGGGGTGACCCGACGGAATGTCCCGACGCTGGCGTCGACGCCCGTGGTCGCCCCGCGGCCCACCGCAAGGCCAGTCCCCGTTGGCCGACAGGTCGCCACTACGAGGAGAACCACCCAAGTCCTGCGGCTGTTGTCGAGGCGGCATCTTGAATATGAGAGAATTGCGAGACTCCCCAGCTCAAGAGCCATGCCCCTGATCAACTACGACGTATTGCGCATGCTCGGCCATTCCGACGATCACGTGGGACGCGAGCGCGTTGAGCATGCTCCTGCCCACCTCCTCGGAGACAATCACGTGCAGTACCAGCTTTCCAGAGTGGCTTTTGAGCCGACGCCGACGCCCTGCAGCGAATTCCTGGGTCACAGGGCGCGCGAGGGAGACCGCTGCTGAAAAAGAAGAGGAACCGCAGCGGCGCAGGGCCTTCCCAGCGCAGCACGCAGACGCTTGCCCCGAGCTGGCTAAGGAGGAGGAGGAGGAGGAGGAGGAGGAGGAGGAGGAGGAGGGCATGGGGTGGGGGAGGGGAATCAGCTGCCTCAATGACGAGGCTCGCCCAGCTGCCGCGGTCGCTGCTTCCTCCTCTTCCTCCTCCTCCTCCTCCTCCTCCTCCTCCTCCTCTGCCGCCGCTCCCTGCCTCCCTGCATCGACTGAGATACCGGGCTCGCCCCTCAATGACCGACCGACCGACCGAGGGGGTGGAGAAAGATGAGCAATAAAAGGACCCCTAACCCTTTGAGGAGGGGACCTAAATTAGGAGGGCAAAAAACATTAGGACTGGGGAGCCTTCTCTGCAGATGTATCGAACCAAACTGCCCAGAATTATCATCCCTAATGCTAAGACGGGGGCCTACGTGAGGCCACGTCTTCATTGTGCTGTTAGTGTTAAGATGTGTTCCCCAATTAGGCTTACCTGAGGGTTCTGACTTGGTTGAAGTTTGGTGCCTCTGGTGGCTGCTTTGCCCGTTCCTCGGAGGTTCCCCGGGTTCCTCGGGTTCCCCAGGTTCCTCGGGTTCCTCGGGTTCCCCGGGTTCCTCGGGATCCTCGGGTTCCGCGGGTTCCTCGGGCAGCTCGGGTTCCCCGGGTTCCTCGGGATCCTCGGGTTCCCGGGTTCCTCGGGTTCCTCGGGTTCCCCAGATTGCCCAAGCAATGCCAAGCAGTGCCAAGCAGTGCCAAGCAATGCGAAGCAATGCCAAGCAATGCGAAGCAATGCCAAGCAATGCCAAGCACTGCGCCCATGCAATGGGAAGCTTAATCCCACCAGCCCTCTGGGCGTAGGTGGTTTAACGAGTTGTGTCTTCTCTCTTTCCACAATCCCTCCTTCCCCTGCTCGGGGGAAGGGGTTACCCTTGCACATGCCCCATCCCATGGGCCTGGGAGGAGGAGGTGCCGCGAGGCGCTAGAGCGCCCAAGATGTCTCCAAGAGGGCCTCAGCGAGCCCAAGAAAGCCTCCAAAATGGCTCAAGATAGATCAAGATTGCTCAGGATAGCCTCCCACATACATCGGAGACGCCCCAAGACGGTTCCAAGATGGCCGAGCTCCAAGGACGCCCCAAGAGGCCAAAATGGCCCCAAAACCTTCAGACTAATAAATGATGTGCGCGTTCTCGCCAATACGCCTCTGATGAGCTTCCGAGGCGTCAACATGGCCACAAGACGGCCAAAGGGAGCCCCAAGAGGGCCCCAAGAGGGCCCCAAGAGCGCCCAGGAGCACCCCAAGGAGCGCCCCGACAAGGCCACAGGAGGCAGTGCTTGAGCCTCCGGGGGGGAGGGCACGAATTGAGGACGCCCCTCCTTTTGAGCTACGGGGTCCACGACGGCCCCCAAAAACATCTCGCACCCTCCCAAAAGGCCCGAAAGAGGGCCGCAGGGTGGCCCCGAGAGGACCCCAAGAGGGCCCCAAGAGGACTTCAAGAGAGCCTCAAGACGCCCCCAAAAGACCCCCGAGGACTTCTCACAGCAACGCTCCAACCCGCCTGGCAAACTGTATCCGAATGGACTGGCGGGGATACTTTTCGGTCGCAGCCGCAAGCGAAGGCGCAGGCGGCGTCAAAGGTCGGCCCGGGCTACGGGCAACTGGCGGGAATACTTTTTGGCTCGCGGCTCCAAGGCGAGGGACAGGGAGCGGGTCAACGTCAGGGGCGCGGAACGAAGATAATTGGCCGCAGTGGCGTATGCACATGCCAGGGACAAAATGACCCTCATTAAGACGCCAGTGACGTCGGCGGGTGACCAGCACCGACATCCCAGCAGGTGGGGACGCCAAGGCGCGGCGACCGGCGGCGGAACGGGGGGGAGAAGTCGCCCTTTCGGCGCCAAGCTCCGGCCGAACCACAAAAGGAGGCGGGGCCAGATGGCGGGGATACGCGAGGCCTCAAGAGTTGGGGCCCCGCCGTGTTTAGGGGACCAAAAAATGGCATAAACATAAAAACTCGGAGGTCCGCGCGGATTTCTCGGATCGGCGCTGGACCCCCCTCCCTGGCGCGCGGAGCGCGCCAGGGGCGGCGCCGGAGGCGCCGCCGTGGGGCCCCAGCGCCGATCCGAGAAGTCTGCGTGGACCTCCGAGTTTTTAAATGTTTGTGCCACTTCTTGCTCCCCTAGTGCTCATGTTTGTCAATGGAGGAGGGCCCGAAGTTAAAGCCTCTACGAAAGGATTCCGACTGAAAGGCTCGACAAAATAATTATTATTGAAAGTCTCTATAAAACGATTCCTATTGGAAGCCAATATAAAAGGATTCCCATCGAAAGCTTGTAGCTCGATCCCGCAGGGCCGACGGCGTTGATCGCGGAGGCCAGGTGCCCCCGGCGGAACAGCGCCAGCGCGCCCGGCTGCAGCGCCTCGAGGGCCGCCTCGAGGGCCTCGAGGGGGCCGTCCAGCGCCCGCGGGGGGGGCGGCTGGCCCTCGAGCTCCTCTTTTGGGGGGAGGGGCGTGGCCCGTCTGCCTCGGAGCCGTGGCCTGCCTGCTTCCCGCGCTCGCTGCCCTGCTGGACGCGCTGCTGCCTGCGCTGCGTCTGTCTGCTCCTGTGCTGCTGCTCCTCCTCCGCCTCCTCCTCCTGCTCCCCCTCCTCCTCCTCCTCTCCTCCTCCTCTCCTGCCTCCAGATCCTCATCCTCATCCTCCTCCTCCTCCGCCTCCCTCTCCTCCTCCTCCTCTCTCCTCCTCCTCCTCCTCCTCCTCCTCCTCCTCCTCACCCTCCTCCGCCTCCTCCTCCTCCTCCTCCTGCTCCCCCTCCTCCTCCTTTCAAACTCTTGTGCCTACTTTAACCCTCCCGCGTCAGGCCACCCACCCCGATGGCGCGGACAGGGTACCAGCAGTAGACTCGCACGCTCTCAGTCCCCAAGGGGGCCCCCCTCTGGGCCCAACGCCCTAGATGAGGGAGCTGCCCCCGAACGGGGCGGTGCATCAGGAGAGCGGTTCTTGCTCCTCCTACCCGACGTATGGGTGATGGATGCCTGCGAGGTCCACTGCATGAGGGCTAGGTGGAGGGCTGGAGGCGTGCCAATCCTCTCTCCACGGTGTGTGCACGGCGCAGATGTCGAGCAACTGGCAACCACAGCTGAATGCCCCTCATAATCCAAGCCAGGACGTATCTTCTTGTGCCAGTAAGCCCAGCTAACGGGGGACCCCTTGAGCATGCCTGTGTGTCTACCTTTATGTCTGTATGTCTGTCTGTCTGTCTGTCTGTCTGCCTGCCTGCCTGCCTGCCTGCCTGCCTGCCTGCCTGCCTGCCTGCATGCCTGTCTGCGTGTCATCTGTATATATATATATATATATATATGTATCCATCCATCCATCCATCCATCCATCCATCCATCAATCCGTCCGTCCGTCCATCCATCCATCCATCCATCCATCCATCCATCCATCCATCCATCCATCCATCCATCCATCCATCCATCCATCCATCCATCCATCCATCCATCCATCCATCCATCCATCCATATATCTATCGGTCTCCAACTCATCCTCCTCCACATCCTCCGTCTCCGTCTTCGTGCCCGCCCCCGTCCCCGTCCCCGTCCCCATCCCCGTCCTCATCCCCGTACCCGTCCCCGTCCCCGTCCCCCCTCCTCCCCCCTCCCACCCTCCTGTTCCGACCCCGTCCTCCCTCCTCCCCCTCCCCCCTCCTCCTCCATCTCCTCCTCAATCCCCGCGCCCCTCCTCCTCCGATCCTGGTTCCGCCCCCCCTCGATCATCGCCACAGCTGCCGCCGCAAGGGATCCCATCCGCGCGTAACAAGAGCACAGTTGGCATCGCAATCTGGACGTCCGACGCCACCTGCCCGCCGACGGGCGAGGCCCAGCTGCGCATCCGCTGCTCCAAAGAGAGGGCCAGACGCTGGGCCTGCAGCCGTCGCCGCCCCCCCGACCCCTCCCTCCTGCCCCCTTCGTTCCCTCACTCCCTCCATCCACTCCCTCACTCCCTCCATCCATCCCGCTCTCCCTGCCTCACTCCTTGCCCGGGACGTGGAACCAAGGAGTTGCACGAGGAGGAGGAGGAGGAGGAGGAGGAGGAGGAGGAGGAGGAGGAAGAGGAGGAGGAGCAGGGAGGGAGGGAAAGCTGGGGTAAACCTTTTGAACTTGGCTCGTCGGACATCGAGACCGCGTTCGCCGCCATGTTTCACGGGCACCGGCGAGCTGTTCGGTTCGGAGCGAGTCGGCCCAGCTGCGGTCACCTCTGACTCAAAGTCTGCCTGGTGCCCAATTCCGAAGCAGAGGATCGGCGACAGACGCCTCCTCGCCATCATACTCCTCTGTGCCATCATCCTACCACTGCTGACGTTACTACTCTTACGGATGCTGCTCCATGCTTTGACTGATACTGATCGAGCCTTCTTCTTCTCCTCATCCTAATCCTGCTCATCCTCCCCACTCCTCTTCCCCTTCCTTCTGCGTTCGCCTCACCCTCCTACTCGGAGTGCGCCAATGTTCTGCCCCCGTCCCCATCTCCTCACCTGACCCCCCCGCCTCCTCACGTCCAGAGAAGTCCTCCAACGCGACCTTCAGGGCGGCCACCTGCTGCCTCCTGTCGCACTCGGGGTCGCTGAGGTAGGTGGCGCAAGGCTGGCCTGCTTCCTCCTTCGGCTGGCAGGAAGGCCGCCGGGTGCCCCCCCCGGGAGGGGGAGAGGGTCAGGTGAGGAGGAGGAGGAGGAGGAGGAGGAGGAGGAGGAGGAGGAGGAGGAGGAGGAGGAGGAGGAGGAGGAGGAGGAGGAGGAGGAGGAGGAGAGGAGGAGGAGGAGTAGGAGGGGGAGGAGGAGGAGGAGGAGGCGGAGGAGGAGGAGGAGGAGAGGAGGAAGGGGAGGAGGAGGAGGAGGAGGAGCAGGAGGAGGAGGAGGAGGAGGACTGGTGACAAGCCGTTTCTGCGTTCCGCCGGACGGGGGGGGGGCAGGCAGAGGAGGAGACGGGCCTTCCCCCAGAGCGAAGCTCCGGTCACGGAATGGTCTTCTCTGACGGCCGCGGGAGGGGGGTCCAGGAGCCCGAGAACTGCGAACAAGCTGCCACGACCCCCACCGTCAAGGACACCGCCTCTCCGTTCGGAGGTTGCTGCCAAAGGTGCTGCAGGCCGTTAGGCCAGGGTATTCTCAACGTGCCTGCCGCCGCGGCCAATCGGTGCGGTGCATCGCCGATGAGGAGTCGGAGGCAGGGGGCCCCGCGGCTACAGACAGCCTTTCACCTCGTTGTCAGCGCTCTCGCCGCGGGCAGTCCACTCGCCGTGTTCGCGAGGGTCCAGGCGCTGGGCAACGCTCCGCGTTCGTGGTAGGCTTGGTCTGAAGGGTGGCGAAGCCCTGTGCCGCAGCCCGACGCCTCCCCGCCCCCCCTGCCCTGCGCGGCCTGGGCGGGGACGGGGGCGCGCCGTGGCGTAGGCTTGGGTCTTGCCGCCCTTTCGGGGGTGGTGTTTCCCATGTGTTGCTGTTTCCGCCCAGGCACGGCGGTGCCGGCGCTGTTGAAGGCTGGCCAGGAACAGGGGCCTGGAGGTCGGTCCCAGTTTGTGCATATTACACGCTCGCACAAGTGGCAGATGCGCCAGGGTGTTTGCCCACGCCATGCTGGGCACTTGGTTTTGCCGTTTGGGCCCGACGATATCTAAGGCGTCGCGGGCCCAAGCCATTTTGGAGCCTCTGGGGCCCTCGAGGCTTCGTGAAGAGCGCCCTGGTGGCCATCTGGGCCTCCCATACAATCCTGGGGACTCTTTGAGTCAGGGACACGTCCCAAACCCCCGACGTCTTCATTACTTTACATCGTGAACCCCCGGATTTCCCGTTCCCTGCCCAACAACCTGCTTCTCCATCCCAAATGCCGTTTCCTGGCGGTCCCGGGTCCCCGTAGGAGCCCCCGGAGGCTGAAAACGGTTTAGAGACCTCCCGGCGTGTTCCTGTTCGCGACTCGAGGAAATCTGGTCCTGGCAGCCTCCCCTCCTGAGCATCGTCTGACCCGTCCCCGTCCCCACCAGCGTGGGCGGGGCCCCCCTGGCCGACCCACGGGGGGGGGGATGCAGGCCGCTCTCTCAGGGCTCCGAGGGGGGCAGGTCCCCAACCGGGGTGGCGAGACGGTGGGGCTCGAGGTGTGGCTGGGGACGGGGATATAGGGATCGGCGAAACGACTTGAGCAGGGACCGACCGCCCCGGCATGTCTACAGGCCCACCAGTGCTCGAAGAACGAAAGCCATGCTCTCAGACCATAGACCCGATGCGTCAAAGCAGGACGGCCCCAGCCAGAAATGCTCGAAGAGCATGCCGTGGAGACCACCAGAAAAAGGCTCTTAGAGCATTGCTTGGCAGGCCTCTCGCCACGCCAGGGCGCCTCGCCACTGCTCGAGGAGAGGCATCGGTAAAACGATCCTGAGACCCGTTGCCGCATTTAAAACAGGGCTGAGATCGGGATAAATCGATCCAGAGCGTTCTGGAGCGCTCTCACAGCGTTCCGGAACGCTCTGGAGGGGCCGCGGCGCCCAATACATCCTCCAAACCCGCCGATTCTCAGAAATTTCGAGTTATCCCGATCCGATGTTGTCCCGATCTTCGCGTCGTTTTAGCATTTCCACCCGACTGCCTCCCGCACCCGCCACGCGGCGGGCCCGGCCGGCGCGCCGGCCCCGGCACCCTGCCCGCCGACGGCCCCCGGCGCGGGGTACGGCCACGCTGCGGCGAAGGCGCCCCGGCCCTGCGGGGGGGCCTGGCGCGGGCGGGAGGGGGGGGGCGCGGGCAGGAGGGGGGAGGGCGCGAGAGGGGGGGGAGGGCGCGAGAGGAGGGGGGAGGGCGCGAGAGGGGGGGGAGGGCGCGAGAGAGGGGGGGGAGGGCGCGAGAGAGGGGGGGGAGGGCGCGAGAGAGGGGGGAGGGCGCGAGAGGAGGGGGGAGGGCACGAGAGGGGGGCGACGGGCTCAGGAGGGGAGGCATCGCCCTGCCGTCGGCGACCCATCGCCGACAGAGCGGCGACGGGCCTCCGACGCCGACGACGACGACGCCGACGCCGCCGACGCCGACGCCGAGGCCGAGGCCGACGACGACGACAACGACGACGACGACGACGACGACGCCGACGCCGACGCCGAGGCCGACGACGACGACGACGACGACGACGACGCCGACGACTGTCGGGACCCCATCGGCGAACTATGGGCGGTCGGGGGTCGATGCGTGACCCCCCTGAGCCGATTCCCTCCTGACGCGGCTCCTCGGAGGGACGATGCGAGATGACGGATGCAGGAGGCGCTGCGGGAGGGTTTAGTGACCGTGCCCAAGAAGGCATCGGGCTCAGTGACCGGCCAGGAAGGGAGAGGACTGGGAGGGGAGCACCCTTAGAAGAAGGAAACGCTAAGTAAGCTACGTAAGCTATGGTTCCGCATGAACCCAAATGCGCCGTCGCCAATTCGGGTTTCCGACTGCCCGCCCCTGGGCCTGACTGCGGGACAAGGGTTTTGGGTACCTTCTAGCAAAGTGGCACGCCAGAGGGTACCGTTCTCATCCTTCTCCTGCCTAAAGCCTTCCTCACCTACAGCTTCAGCTACAATCTGCCCAAGTTTCCCGCTGGCACCAATCATGCACATGTCAACCTTCCACCTAGCAATCACCTTCTTCATGCTAAATGTTAAACCACTGTGCCTGCCTCTCCTAAGTGGTATACTCAGACCGATTGTGTAGTGCGTGTACCACCAGGACATTCATGCTGAGGTAGGGCGCCTGACATTTCACAACTAGGTGCCGAAGTGATGCTTCGAGGGGTCGCAGGTGCCGAGGTTCAAGATATAATGGTTGATCACCTTTCCATAGCTCGACACCCAAATTCTTACCATCTGCTGTGTTGCCGAACGATAGAACATGATATGTTGCCGGTATTATGTTGTCTTCCTCGTTGCGTGCCTCCTGAACGCCTGCAAAACGAACCCCAACTCCTTAAACTGGTGCCTGAGTGCCGCCCCTGAAGTTTTTGCCATCCTGGCCTTAAGTGGCCTGTGCATCCCTGGCCGTGGTGGCAGTAAAACTGGCCGCTCCGAATTCCAAGGCGAGGGGGACCTTGCGTTCTGAGGCCGGGGGGGGGGGCAAAAGGCTTTTGTTGACACCGAAGGGGCTGTCGTCCATGGGGTACTGGGCTCTGATCTTCTGGTTGGCATGTACCAGCAAAGCCCAATTCAAGACATGTGTATATACTAACGCTGTGCGTAATTCCCTACCTAGGCTCTGCCTAGAAGGGTTCTTACTCTCTGTCTTAAAGGGGCCAGGCAGTGGACCCCGCCCCCGGGCGGTTCCCCGGGCATCCGCCCCGCGGTTCCCCCGGCATCCGCCCCGCGGTTCCCCGTCCCCTTAGCTTAGCGTTGCTTATCTCATCTTAGCTTAGCTTGTTTCATCTTAGCTTAGCTTAGCTTCATCCCAGCTCAGGTTTATCTTAGCTTAACTTACCTTCATCTTAGCTTCGCTGAGCTTTAGCATAGCAGAGCACAGCATAGCATAGCGTAGCATAGCATAGCGCAGCACAGCATATCATAGCATAGCTCAGCATAGCATAGCATAGCGCAGCATAGCATAGCATCGCATCGCATAGCATAGCATAGCGCAGCACAGCACAGCACAGCATAGCACAGCGCAGCATAGCATAGCATAGCATAGCAGGGCAGAGCAGAGCATAGCATAGCACAGTATAGCGCAGCATAGCATAGCATAGCATAGTATAGCATAGCGCAGCTTAGCATAGCATAGCGTCGCATATCACAGCGCAGCATGACACAGCATAGCTTAGCATAGCATAGTATAGCACAGCATAGCATAGCATAGCGCAGCATAGCATAGCATAGCATAGCATAGCATAGCATAGCATAGCATAGCGCAGCATAGCATGGCATAGCATGTCATAGCATAGCATAGCAACTAATGCTGCTTCCTAGGGGCTCCAATTTCTAGGTAGGGTCGCGCTGGGGTAATTCATCAGGGAGGCCTTGATATGTTTCAGAACAGGCGATGCCGTGAGCCAACTCGTTCCAAGGGTTGTCTGAGTGCCCCTTTTCTGCATGTTGTGTGGATTATCCGTCTCTACGATATGCTATGTCCTGGAAAGAAAAGACCAGATTAAAGAGGTCATCACTCACTTCAGAAGCGCATACTCACCTAGGGCTAGCCCGATTGCAGATATACTGTCGCAATAGATCACGAAATTTGGCCTCATCAATTGGCGCGCCGTCTCGCTGGCGAAGCCATAGTGTCCTAATACCTAACACCAAATACATGGCCAGAGTATGCCTAACAACTCGATGGTGGTGCTGGAATTGTCGGAGGGGGCGATGGTGATGTTAGTAGAGCAGGCCGCATTCTTGCGAATCCCATGCAGCTGACCGAGTCGTCACGGTCCATGCCAATTGTCTCAAAGCCCACGCGTCGCCTCCTCGACCCTTGTGCGATCCGTCGCAGTGCTTCCCTGGCTGCAACTTTCAATGCGAACTGTGCAGGTGGGGTCATTTGAACTCCTGAGGTATCAAAAACGGTGTGAACCAATATGCAGAAGTTGCGACCTTTTCGAAACCCTTGCCTGCATCCTCGAAGTTGCAGCCCTCGTATGTTTTCACCTCCTCCTCCTTCTCCTCGTTCTCCTCCTCCTCGTTCTCCTCCTCCTCCTCCTCCTCCAAGTGTTACCCAAAGGATGATGAAATCGAAATTGGGATAAACGCATTGGCATAAATACGGTGAGGACATTAAATACCGAACCGTTGTAAAAGAAATCCAGGGTCTGAAAGCCGGTGGAACGCCATGCGAGATCTGGCAATGGGTCGCACTGCCACCCTCATCAGATGAGGAACCATCCAGGGTCTGAAGCCTCCTGGGCACGATCCTTACATCGGAGAGATCGCGTTTCACGGGCGCTTGCCTTGGGATCATTCGGCGGCGCGTTTCGAACTGGGGGGGGTGACGCCCCCCAAACATTCGTCGCCGTCGATCCCTCTCCCCTAACCCACCCCCCCACCCCCAAGGGGGGACGGGGTTCGAACCCCCCCCCCCTCTCTGGAAAGGAATAAGAGATTCGAACTCCTCCTATCTATTCTCCTCCGGCTTCCCGGGAGGGAGAGGGGGGGTCGAACCCACCCCTCGGCGCCGTTGCTGGCGCCTGCGCTGGCGGCGGCCGGCAGCACCAACGACGGGGACGCAGCGACGATGACCAGAGAGGGCCCAGAAGCCGTAACGGGAGAATACAAGCCTTCGTTCCCCAAAGGCCACCCGGAGGCCTTAGGAAGTTCCAGAAGACGCCCGAGAGGCGCCCAGGAGGCCCCACACATGCACTTCAGATGCCCCCGAGACCCCTCTGACGAGACCCCAAGAGGCATCCATTGGAACTGTGAGCCAAAGCCAAGACGCGGCGGCGGGAAGACCCGAACGCCACACCACCACCACCACAACCAGCCACCACAACACCACCACCACCACGGCCGCCACCACTACCACCACCGCAACCATTACAACCCACCACCACCACAAACCATTACAACACCACCATCACCGCAACCGCCACCACCACCACAACCCAGCACAATTCACCACAACCACCACAACCACCACCACAAACCACCACACCACCACCACCACCGCCACCACAACACACCACCACCACCACCACCACCACCCACCACCACCCACCACCACCACCTCAACCACCACCACAGACCACCACACCACTATCACCACCACCACCACAACCACCACCACCACGACCACGACCACCACCACCACCACCACAAACCATTACAACACCACCATCACCGCAACCGCCACCACCACCACCACAACCCAGCACAATCCACCACAACCATTACAACCACCACCACAAACCACCACACCACCACCACCACCACCACCACCACCACCACGCGCAACCACACCACCACAGCCACCACCACCACCACAACAACAACCCACCACCGCCACCACCACCACAACCACAACAACCCACCACCACTACCACCACGACAATCAACCACACCACCACCACCACCACCTCCTCAACAACAACCCACCACCGCCACCACCACCGCCACCACCACCACGGCAACCACCACAAACCACCACACAACCACCACCACTACCACGAATCACCACACCGACACCACCACCACCACCACCACCACCACCGCCACAACCACCACCTCCACCACCATCAATCTACCACCACCACCACCAAACCACCACACCACCCCCACCACCAACGCCACCATCACCACCACCACCACCACCTCGTCAACAACAACCCCACCACCACCGCCACACAACCCACCACCACCACCACCCACAAACCACCACACCACCACCACCACCACCACCACCGCCACCACCACCACCACCACCACCACCATCGCCACCATCACCACCACCACCACCCACCACCACCGCCCGCCCAGGAAAGGAAGTCGTCGTCCTCATCGACGCTCTCCGCCGCAGCCGCCAGCCGCCGCCGACGCGGGCGCCTTCCCGAGGAGAGTGAGAGAGGAGAAGAGGGGGAGGAGGGAGGGGGGCGGGGTTCGAACCCCCCCCCTGCGTCACGGGAGAATGGGGGGGTGGTCGAACCCCCCCCGCCTTCAATCCAGGGGAGGGGGGGTCCGGTTCCGAACCCCCCCCCCTCCACGTGCCCACAGAACGCCCTCCTTCAAACATCGGAACATAGAATAGGATGGTTCAAATCAAAGATCATCGTTGCCTGAG